GCGGTGGCCGGGAGCGGCCACTGCACTCCAGTCTGGGCAACAGAGTGAGACTCCAACTCAAAAAAAAAAAAAAAAAAAAAAAAGATGTTGTTTTTTGGGAAGCTTATGAGATGTGTGGGTTGGAAAGACTCCTATTATATATTATGAACTTATTATGCGTTTGACATGGTAATGTGGATCTTATGTACTTAATTTAATCCTCACAATAATCCCTTTTAGGCAGGGGATAACCATTTTGCATGTGAGAAAACTGAGACTCAAAAAGTTTGGGTTGTCCAGAGTTACAGTACCAGTTACAATTCAGCCCAGACTATAGTAGCAAAGACATTGAAATACAGTGGTTGAGACAAGTGGCTCTGTCCTGAGAAGATAGGTGGCCCCGGGTGGGGGGGGAAATGATGCTCTCTACAGCCACCCAGCTTCCCTCCCCCGTGCTGCTTGGTCATCCCCAGGATGTTCCCGTCTGAGTGGTTGGAACTGGATCCTGCTTTGGGAAGGGGGAAGGGAAAGTGGAGGGCATACAATTTCTTACCAAAACACAATCCAGAAGTTCTACCTGTCATTTGTACTCACATCCTGCTAGTCAAAACTTGATCACATGGCTACACCTAGTTGCAAAAGAAGCAGAGAAATGTGGCAACTTGGAGAGTTACTTACCAAAAGGAGAAAGGGGAATGACCACCAGGGGAACATTGTAGGCTCCGCCTAGTTCCCTAGTGATGAGTGGAAGAGCTGTATTCCAACCCTAGGACTAAAACCTGTGACGTTCCCATCACATTTTTCACCATTTCTCATAGTTGATAGTCAGTAACTGTTGAATTGAGACAGGTCAAGATATTATGTGTGAGCTTCTTGATGATTTGAAATTATTTCTTCCCTTTCCTTGCCTGATTACCTATGTGCTAAACTGTCGCTGTTTTTGATGATATTGTTTTAATGTGCAAAACAGAAAACAGATACTCTTCTTCCTTCAGTTTAATTTAATAAAATAATCCACCAGTTGTTAAGGTTCTGTAGAACCATATGAGATGTGAAATTGGATTAATGATACTGATCTTTTTTTTTTTTTTTTTTTGAGTTGGAGTCTCACTCTGTCGCCCAGACTGGAGTGTAGTGGCCACTCCCCGGCCACCGTAGCCTCGACCTGCTGGGCTCCAGCAATCCTTCCGCCTCAGCCTTCCAAGTAGCTGGAACTACAGGCGCGTGCTACCACGCCTGGCTAGATACTGATCTTTTAAATGACCAAATAGCCATCTTCTTTAAAATAGGTGTCATCTTAGGAGAATGTCATTGTTGCTCATAACATTTTTGATATTTTATTTTGGCTGGAATGTCAGTCAACTCTTGTGATAATGCTTCCTGACACCACCACTGAGATCTCAGAGGTATACAGCAGTATTTAACTCATGTGCATATGGGTCTCTAGGGGAGTCAGATCTGTTCCAGGTATCTCTTGTCCTCCTTCTGAGAAAGCAGACTCGCAATGGACATCTTTTTCTCTGACAATGCCAAAAGAAAACAAGTAGAAAAACTTGAGGCTTTCTGAGGCCTAGATTGGAAACTGGCACAACCTGTTGGCTAGCCAAAGTGAGTCTTGTGGCCAAACCCACAGTCCAGGGCCGTGGGAAATGCTCTATGCCTTAAATAGGAAAAAATCTAGTCATATGGTAAAGGACCTGATGAAGGACAGACCAGCAAAGCAACCTCCTACTGCTTTGCCCTTAGCAAGTTATTGTGAATATTTATGAGCTGATAAATCTTTTAAAGGTAGCTTTGATTTTTTTTCTTTTGTAAAATAACTAAGTTTATTAATGAGATTAGAGAATCAGGCTATTTACGCATGTGATATTAAATAATGAGACTTATTTTCTAGAAGATTTGGTTCCAGAATATGGTGTTTGGTGGCAGAATAATTGGAAAAAATGTGCAGCCTTTTAAGATGACTGATTCGAAAGGACTTATTTGAACATCAGTTTTTAGAAAAATAAACCTTAGCTGGGCTCGGTGGCTCAGCCTGTAATCCCATGCTTTGGGAGGCTGAGGTGAGTGGATTGCCTGAGTCTGCGGGTTCGAGACCCGCTTGGGCAACTTGGCAAGACCTCATCTCTACAATAAATCAAAATGAGCCGGGCGTGGTAGCATGCACCTGTAGTTCCAGCTACTTGGAAGGCTGAGGCGGAAGGATCGCCGGAGCCCAGCAGGTCGAGGCTGCGGTGGCTGGGAGCGGCCACTTCGCACTCCAGTCTGGGTGACAGAGTGAGACTCCAACTCAAAAAAAAAAAAAAAGGAAAAAAAGAAAAATAAACCTTATGACTTATATGTCACCACTTTGTCTCAAATAGGGAAGGGGGTGGAGTAGAGGCTTATCCCAAGTTCTTTGCCTAACCTAGAAAATATGCTTTCTGTGCAGATTCTCATTGCTAAGTCCCCTCTGGCTCCCTTCAGCTCATTTGTCTACACCATCAAGGAGGAAGGCCTGGTTCTGCAAGGTGAGATCCTTGGGTTAAGCCATTCCTTTAAGTCAGTGGTGCCCAGTGCTACTGCACTAGCAGTTATTACTGCTGTGGTCCTGACGGAAGCTACTTCAGGGTAGCATCAAAAGCCGGCATGACTCGGCCAGTGGCAATTACTCTGACATGATCAAGACAGGGGTAGGGATGGGGGAGAACTTTGGAATTGTATAACAAAGTGAGACAACCAAAACGTGGGGCTCCAACCAGGACATTGCTACCCTCCAGCTGTCTCTGCAGCTCCTGTGGGGTGATGTGGGCCATGAGTCCCTGACACCAGTGTCATGGGGCCAGAGCTGCACAGAACCCTTGCCTACAAGCCAAAGAGCCACCTGTGTCCTGGCTCCATGAGCCCTCCCTCCCTGGCCCCTTCTGGCTACTCCATCTCCTTTCTGTATGCTCAGTCCAGACAGGGCCCTCCTGCTGGGGACCGGGCCATGCAGACCTGCACCTTGTGACATGTGCCTGGGACTTGCAAGGAGCGGAACTCACTGAGCTACCATGGTGGGTCATTCCCAGATGCCAGATACTCTGGCGGATGGGAAAGCCACCTGGTTGCAGGTCTGTGGAGAAAACAATTAACATGATGTGGTAAATTCAAACACCATTACACTCAGAAGAATCAGCTCACAAGGTCAGATGTCCTGAAGTGCTTTACAGGTTAAGAAGGGCTCTCACGGAAGGGCGCAGGATCTGTTCTGCCCAGGTACCCCATCAGGCAGGAGGCCCCACCCACAGAGATGTATAGGTGAACACCTGGCCTGAACCATGGAGGAGCGTGTCATCATCATTGTCCATGAGAGAAACATCTGTCCTGTGAGCTTTTTTTTTTTTTTTGAGTTGGAGTCTCACTCTGTCGCCCAGACTGGAGTGCAGTGGCTGCTCCTGGCCACCGCAGCCTCGACCTGCTGGGCTCCAGTGATCCTTCTGCCTCAGCCTTCCAAGTAGCTGGAATTACAGGCATGCACTACCATGCCCAGCTAATTTTTTGATTTATTGTAGAGATGAGGTCTCGCCAAGTTGCCCAGGCGGGTCTCGAACCCGTGGGCTCAGGCAATCCACTCACTTCAGCCTCCCAAGGTGCAGGATTATAGGCTGAGCCACTGAGCCCAGCGAGCTTTTTAAGTCAAGTATTTTTCCCAGGTTTGTGAAACAGGGCATCCCTGTTTCACCTTGCACTGCAGGGGTCTGCAGGGAAGGCTGGAATATGCACCCTTCCTTCCTCTTCCAAGATGTCCGCTCCTTCAAGGACTCCCCAAGTAACATGTTTGCTCGGGGCAGCTAAGCTCCACAGCAGGACTCTCAGGTCCATGAAATTTGGGGTAAGAGCTACTGACCTTTGGCTCTTAGCCTTTGACTTATGCTATCCAAGTTCCTTGGTAAATATTTTTTTTTACAATTGCAAATATTGTTTTCTGACAAAGAAGCAGAGATTTTAAGACCAGATTAAGCAAAGCAAACAGCAGGCCCCTTTGTTCCGTGTTCTCTAAGGGTGTAGAGCTAGGAAGCAGGCAGAAAGCTGGACTTTTGTTTGCCCAGTGCATGGTGTGGCTTTCAGCTCTTCATTTTTAGAGGCTTTCCTAAAAGATTAGAGATCTAGTAAATAGCAAATTTAGATAAAGATTTCAAGAAATTCTAAGGAAGGTTACAAGATCATTCCAGGAAGAAAAAAGCTCTGCCCAGATGTTTTGTATCAAGAGCCTTGGTGTGATGCTTGGACCTTGATCACTGGCCATCTCGCCGAACAGTATCTCTAAACCTGGTCTAATTTGGATAACTTTAGGGATAATATTTATGGGAGCATGATTCACCGAGTTGCCTCTCTGATGTTCACCGATTAGATCATGATTTTAACTGGGGAGGGGAAATTATTTAGAGAAAGTGAGACTGGAAATACAGTGAATTGTTGGGAATGACTGTTAGAGAAAGTTGGAAATGGGAGAAAATGGGCTGCTGATGGAGGCTGACCTGTTGCTGTGTGTCCAGGAAAGGGAAGGACTCTGACAAATGTCTTAGACTCACAACCAGTCAGTGAAGTGCCTGGGAGGCCTTGGAACCTCTAAAGTGCCCGGGAGACCTCAGAACCTCACCTGGCATTTTCTGCATCCTGCCCACCCCACCTCCACCCCCCAGACTCCACATCCCTCTCTAAGGCTTTCTGGAAGCAATAGGCCCTTCTCCTATCAGCAAGGCCATGGAAAACAAACCCCGTGGCACTCCCTGCCCTCTTGCCGTGTGCTCCCAAAGATTTGGGGAAAATGAAAATGCCCCAGGAAAATGGTGGTCCCTTCTTCATCAGAAAGAACCTTCAGATTTTCATTTCAGTTCTGCTGTGATCTTGAGAGAATCTCTGGGGTTCAAGTTTTGTCAGCTTGAAAATTAAAATGTTAACCTTGATTCAAGGCTTTGAAAATTGTGTTGCAATCCTTTGATGGGTTATGAAATAAAATTGATGAGTCACAAGCAGCATTTTAAGAGAGTGAAAGAGAAGAAAGAACTAGGGAATTTTTAAATCAGATTTTATCACACATTGTATCATTTCGTAAAATATCTATGTGTTTGTGTGTGCATGCACATGTGTACACGCACTGAAGGTGTGTGGGGGCTGCAGTGTAAAATGGTTTTCTTACTTGGAGTGTAGTTACCAGCCTGGGAATCTCCAACAGCTACCTGCACCGACCGTGTCTGACTCTCCTAGGAGGTGACACACTCATTATTCTCCTTAGCTTGGCACAGTTGTACCCTTGAGATCACTACACACTGGAACAATAAAAGTCTATTTTTTCCCCATCCTTACCAGATAACTGAGCTGAAAGACACCCCCAGGTTTAAAGCAAAGAAAACCGCAGTCCCTGGCCAATAAACTTGGAAAGGCCAAACAGCTTTTTGTGTGTGAGGGTAGCCCTGGCAGGTTAGGCCAAGCTGTGGTAGGGGTGGCACCTGGAGCTCTGGTGGGGCCCTGGCCGTGTCTGGGGGGCCTAGAGACCGACAGCACAGCCCCTGATGGTCAGTCTTCCCTTAGAGTTGCCTGGGGTAGGAACAAGGCACCCTCACAGGTGCCTGGTGGGGGTAGGGAGTGACCCCCAGTGCCTTTTGTCCTCACTGGCCTGCTCCCTGGGAGGTTTTAGAATACACGAAGAGCTCCTGAGTGTGGACTCCCCAGGCAATGCCCTGACTGCGCCCAAGGATTAGGCTGAGAGCAAGCAGCAGCGGCCTGTCCCTTCCCTGCCTTTGTCAGAGGGCGGGGAGACAAAGCCTCAGGCTAGAGAACCAGGGGCTGCTTAGAGATTTCTCAGGCTGCTTTTTGAAACACTTGAAGAAGCCGTCCATGCTATTGTTGTAGTAAAATAGAAAGCAGAACTATTCTCCTTTGGCAAAAAAAAGAAAAGAAAAGAAAAGAAAAAGTTAGAGAAAGAAAATCCACCCTCCTCCTGGCATCTTCAGGAGGCCAGGACTCAGGCCATTAACATGGTAATATCGTCCTGTTTGCATCTTCTTTGTTCATTTGTCCGTGAGTTTGAGATCCTGGCCTCTCATGGCGGGGCCCTAGAGGCTGGAAATACTTAAGCCCCAAAGGAAAGGACACTCACAACCACCAGCTTCCTGAGGGTTCGGACTCTGAGCAGGCCCAGGTCCCAGGCCAAGAGAGTTCAGCTCCTTGGTGCAGCTGAAGTGGAAAACGTGGGGTGGGAAAAGGTCTCGTGAGTCCATTTTTCCTTTTGTCTCCAGAGCTCACCATGAAAACCATAACTCCCATCGAGGAGAAAAACCCAGAGGTTTGGCCAGCCTCTTAGAGTGAGACTGGAGTTGCCCAGGCCCAGTGGAATGGGAAAGCCCTGGGAATCGGTTCGAGTGGAGTGGGCTCTGCCGCAGAAGGGAAGGAATGAACAGGAATGCCAGTGTGACCCACATCTACCCTGATTGTGCTTTCAACAGGACTGAAGCTGGTGACTTAGTCTCTCAGTAAACCATTGTGTTTTTTATCCTGTTTTTGCAAATCAAGATCAGGTATGACAAGTTGGATTTGGATTCTGGTGCTGTCCTTTGTTAGTTTAGGTTTGAATGAGTAGCATAACCTCTCTGGGGGAGCTCAGAGACCAAGGCACCCTGGGATAGTCCAGAGAAGGTACTGGAAGTGAGGCTAGTGTTCCCTCTCTTCAACCACACAGTACAGGGGTGCATAAGAAAACAGAAAACAAAGAAACAATTTTATTTTATTTTTTTTAGAGGTGGAAAACTGGGTGCCTCCTCGGTCTTGTTTTGCTTTTACAATCAAGAATGGTTTGTTCCGTCACCTTTTGAAGTCTATTAGGAGAGGCATTAATCTCTTCTATTTGTTCCCTTGTCACAAACTTGGGTTAACTTCTTCTACCGCATTTTTTTTTTTTTTTTTTGCCACTGAGCCAACTGGATGATTTATTGAAAAAGGTTCCCCTCCAAATACCACCATCTGAGTTCATCAGATTTCAGTTTGAATCAGTAACCCATCCAAATGTTTAATGCCTGCTGGACTCAAAATGACCCAGAAGATTCTCAGTCTGTTTCCACCCAGGTACGGAGCTGTCTGCATGGTGAACATCACGCACACACCTGGCCCAGCCTGGCATTCTTGTGAGAGCCTGGGCAAAGAGCCCTGGAATTCAGTGGAGTAGAGCGCATGAACTCCTCTCCCAGAGGTCATGGAGAGGAGGACAGAACAGGCTGTCACACTGTCCCCAGCCTGCCAGGTGCTGTGGCAGCCTCAGAAAGTTCATCCAGGCCAAGGCATTGTCTCTGGCTGCTTCTGTCTGCTTCTTGGGGTGGGGCCTATAGGGAGTGAGGAAGGATTCTGACTGTCCCTTCTGTCCCCTCCCTCCAAGAAAACTTCCCACACTGGCCCTTGACTGGGCTCACTTCTTTTCTTCTGGCTAGTAGCCTCAAAGATAGATTTTTACTATTTTTAGAAACATTTTATATTATGTGGAAAAATATGTTTATTTGGTTTTTTTTGGGGGGGAGGGTTGAGTTGGAGTCTCGCTCTGTTGCCCAGACTGGAGTGCAGTGGCCGAGCCTCGACCTGCTGGGCTCTGGCGATCCTTCCGCCTCAGTCTTCCAGTTGCTGGAACTATAGGCACGCGCTACCATGCCCGGCTAATTTTTTATTTATTGTAGAGATGAGGTCT